TTTTTATTTTATGTGTATGCATGTATTGCCTGCATGTAGGTAAGTGCACCCGTGTCGTGCAATGCCTGAGGAGGTCAGAAGAGGCTGTCGGATCCCTTGGGACTGGAGTTAGGACAGTTGTCAGCTGCCATGTGGGTGCTGAGATTTGAACCTGGGTCTTCTGCCAGAACAGCCAGTGTTCTTGACCACTGAGCCATCTTTCCAGCCCCTCATTTTTATATTTTGGAGACAGGGTCTCACTCTACAGCCTAAATTAGCCCTGAACTCAAGATCTTCCCTCTCTGCCTCCTGCATACTGGGTTACAGATGTGTGCCATACGCCCTGTCTGTCTTCTCTCCCATTTTTATGAGGATGTTCAGTTTACTCACTGAACAGTCAGGGCCCACTCACCATCTGGTTGTTTCCTGGGTGTTACTCAGTTGGTATGATGCTGGTGTCCTTTATGCATGTGGTGATTCTCAATGGCACACTAATCTTGTTGGCAGACATCTACTACGTTGCCAACAAATCTCCAGGGATCCCAATTTCCTTTCTTTTAGACAGTAAGAGAGAAAGTTTGAAAACCACTTGTAGACTGAGGCCATGTGTCTGCCTTCTGGAACCCATGGGTTCTTTAAGAGTTTCCTTAGATCCTGTGGTTGTAGCCCATGTGACACTTGGGTGTTCCAGCCCTGTTTTCCAGCTTCTGTAGCATTTTCTTTGTTTTTATCTTTGCTTATATTTACTTCAAGCATGTCTCCTCTTAGACCAGGCTATCCATTTGGCAGTGAACCTGTAGTCTTTATTGGGCCTCTCATGAGGTCAAGTGCAATGGTCAGTGGAAAATTTCAGAGGACTGAAGTTCACTGGAATGCTGGCCCCTGTGTGCAGAGTACACTCCCTCCTGCAGGAGAAGCACAGTAGATTCCCCCACCTCCAAGAATGACCCTGTCATGGAGCAGACTCCCGGGCAGAGGAAAGCAAGATCAGCTGAGAGCACGAGGGGATGCTAATGGGAGCCGGCCAGGTGCAGTGATGGGTCAAAAGCAGAACAAGGAAAAAAAAAACAAAACAAACCTGGGTTCAAGAAAGGCAATACCGACAAGATTCTTAAAAACTGGTCCATTATATGTAATTCTTTCTTTAAGGGAAATGCGGAGCTGGAGAGATGGCTCAGCAGTTCAGAGTGTATACTGCTCTTGTGGAGGACCTGAGCTTGATTCCCAGGACTCACATCGGGCAGCTCACCACTGCCTGTAAATTCAGCTCCAGGGGGATCAGACCCCTCTGGCCTCCCTCCACAGGCACCTGCACTCGTGTGCACATACCCAAACTTACATACACACAAGCAAAAAAAATAAGAAGAAGGGAAAATAGAATCAGGTTTGCGTTGCAGCAAAGTCATTTGGTCAGTGGTAGATTAGGGGTAAGGCTAGAGGGGAGGTGTGGTCCCCTCACCTCCTGTCCCCCCAACCTGTGAACGCTTCTTGCAGGATATCCTGACAACTTATTTACGTCTCTCTGACCTGTACCTGGCCACTGAATCTCAGAGCAGGGTGGGCATGATTTTTCATGAGAGGCCCTTGTGTGTGCTCCGTGGCTCATGGTAAGGGGAAGAAGATTCCCAAAGGACACCCCGTTCTGTCCAGGCCACAGGACACTTCCCTGGGAGCTGCCCATCAGTAAGAGTCCTCTTACTTCTCCTTAGTGACAGGAGCACGGATTGAGAGCCAACCCAGGAGGATCACTAGAGAGAGGGAAGATTTTACTTCCTAGGGAGAACACAGGGTAGTGGATGAGCATCCTGAACACAGAACTGGGCCACCTGGAGCTTTTCCTGGAGGGCTGGATGAAGGTCTGGGTAGGGAGGATGAAGGAGGAGGTCGGGCTGGCTGCACCATGCATGAGAGTCTTTTTAGTTCTTGTGTATCGATACATAACACCACAGCCCTGTGTTGACTAGACGGTGACTAAACAGATGTGACTTCTTCCACAGGGGACACAGGAGAGAAGGGAGACAAAGGCGCCCCAGGACGGCCTGGAAGAGTTGGCCCTACGGGAGAAAAAGGTATCCACAACCCAGCTCTGTTGGAAAGAAGGAGGTTGGGAGGTGGAGGGAACAGAGATCCCTGGAGGCCGATAGGGAGCAGGGAGGGAGGGCACTGCAAACCATGTCTTCTGGTACTAGCCTGTAGGCCCTAAGAACAAAAATGTGTTCTGGAAAGGCAACACTGGCATTCTGGGAATGAGGAGGCTCAGGGTCACAAGTAAGCATCAAACAAGGAGAATATAGCTGTAAGAGTGCATGGGAGGAGGCAGGGCACAGACTAGGGTACTGAGCAATGGCTCACCCACCTACGAAGTGTGAGTGGTTTCCATGTGACTAAAACAGTATGATTCTGCCTGCCTCATGGGAGGGTGCTGAGACTAGACTGATCATGCAAAAGATGTAGATCACAGGTGCAAAGGAACTAGACGAGAAGGACGAGAATGCATGTGCCCATGAGTCAGAGCATATGTGTACAGGACAAGAGCACACGTGAAGAACTGGGTAGTGGAGGAGTTGCATTACACATGTAAAAAAGGCAAGACACATGTGAAGGAACTTGAATATGCAGGAGGATGGGCTAGATCACACATGTAAGGACTATAAAGTAAATAGCAGGTGTTCAGTACATGGTAGCTATCATCTTTAGGATATAATTATCTTTTTAAAATTTTTTAAAAAATTATTTTATTTATTATTTTTATTTTATGTGTATGAGTATATTGCCTGCATGTAAGTGCACTTGTGTCATGCAGTGCCCACAGAGGTCAGAAGACAGCATCGGATCCCCTGGAAGTGGAATTACAGGCGATTGTTATCTGCCATGTGGGTGCTGGGAATTGAACCTGGGTCCTCTGCAAGAGCAACCAGTGCTCTTAACTGCTGAGCCATCTCTCCATCCCCTAAAAATATATTATTTATTTTTATTTTTATGTGTATTGAGTGTATTACCTGCATGTATGTAAACGCACCCAAGTTGTACAGTGCCCACAGAGGTCAGAAGAGGATATCAGATCCCCTGGAACTGGAGTTAGAGATTATTGTTAGCCACCATGTAGGTGCTGGGAACTGGACTTGGGTCCTCTGAAAGAGCAGACAGTGCTCTTAACCACTGATCCATCTCTCTCCAGCCCCATAGGATATAATTATCTTTACTATGTATTTTTTTTTTGTCTTTTTTGAGACAGGGTCTCCCTGTAGCCCCAGCTGTCCTGGAACTCACTATGTAGACCAGGCCGGCCTTGAACTCACAGAGATACGCCTCCTTCTGCCTCCTGAGTGCCACCGCACCCGGCTACTATGTATGTTTTAATAAAAAATTTATTTACTTATAATTATTGTATGTGTGTATGCTTGATGTGTGTGGAAGACACATGTTACCATGTGCATGGAGAGCCCAGAGGACAACATCATGGAGTCAGTTCGCTCCTCTACCTTTATGTGGGTCCTGGGGGACTGAACTCAGGTATCCAGGTTTGTGTAGCAAGTTCCTTTACCTGATGAGCCATCTTGTCTGCCATACTTAAATTTTTTTTTTCTTGTTTTTTTGAGACAAAGTCTTCCTGTAGTTCTAGATGGCCTGGAACTCACTATGTAGATCAGGCAGCCTCCATCTCACAGATCTGCCTGCCTCTGCCTTTAGAGTGCTGGGATTAAAGGCAGGTACTATCACACCTAGCTATTTTATTTTATTTTATTTATTATTATTATTTTGATCTTTTTGAGATAGGATCTTCCTATAGCCCCAACTGGTCTGGAACTTGCTATGTAGACCAGGCTGGCCTTGAACTCACAAAGATCCATTTGCCTCTGCCTCTCATGGGCTGGGATTAAAGGCGTGCACCCCTGCGCCTGGCTTGGTTATATATATATATGTTATTGCTGTTTTTTAAAAAAATCATCATTAAAACCTATATAGAGGGACTGGAGAGATGGCTCAGTGATTAGGAGCACTTGCTGCTCTTCCAGAGGACCAGAGTTCAGTTTTCAGAACCCATGTCAGCTGTCAGGCAGCTCCCAACTGCTCCAGGAGCACCTGCACAGACTTGGCATACTTATATAGACATACACACATACATATGAGTAAAAATAAAAATAAATTTAAAAAGCTTGGGGTTGGATAAATGTTTTAGTGGTTAAGAGCACTGGCTGTTCTTCCAGAAGACTTAGGTTCAGTTCCCAGCACCCACATGACAGCTAACAACTGTCTGCAACTCCAGTTCCAGGAGATCTGATGCCCTTTTCTGGCCTTCATAAATATTGCATGTAAGGGCTACAATTACATACGTGCAGGCAAAACACTCATACGCACAAAGGAAAAGATTTTTAAAAAAGCTATATAGACGTTCATTCTTGATATTTATACATCATTCTATGAGACTATATATCAGGCAGTCCCACAGCAGATCTTGTGACATTGGAAAGCTGTTGTTTGTAAAAATAAAAATTTGAGGTGTGATTTATGGACCTCCCCCCTTTTCAAGGATACAGAGCACTTGACTTTGAGGTTGCACGTATCTGTGACTCTTATTACAGTAGAGGTTGGAACATTCTGAGACTGGAGAGATGGCTTGGCAGTTAAGAGCACTGGCTGCTTTTGCAGAGGACCTGGGTTTGATTCTCAGCACCCACACAGAGGCTAACAACCATTAGTAACTCCAGTTCCAGGAGAATCCAATGCCCTTCTGCAGGCTGCATGACATGGGTGAACTTACACACATGCAAACAATATACTCATACACATAAAATAAAAGTAATTCTAAAAAAAAGGAAATTGGAATATTCTGTCACCACCAAAGACCCCTCCACCAGTCCTGTGCACAAGTTTCCATTTCTTATTTTTTTTCCTTTACTCATAAAGATTAATTACAAATACATGGAATATTCCCATAATTCAGAAATCAGAATATACAAGGATATTTACAGTAGAAAGTCTACTTCCTGCCTCATGCTGACCCCTGTGGCCTTTGTTACTATTTTATTTATCTTAATAGAGATATGTTATGAATTGGCAAACACGTTCATGTTTTATCCCTTTTGTGCAAATAATTTCATAGCACATAATTTTTCTTCATTTTGCTCTTTGTCTTTCTACCTAACAATGCATCTTGGAGATCATTTCATGAGAGGAAACATAGTTTCCCTTTTTTGTTTTTTTTTTAACAGGGTCTCACTATGTAGACCTGGCTAGCCTTGAACTCGCAGAGATCTGCCTGTCTCTGCCTTGAGCACTGGGATTAAAGGTGTGTACCACCAAGCCTCATTTTTTAATATAGTGATTGCTGTGCTGTGTTGTAGATTTATTATGGTTTCCCTCAGGCTCACGTTTTCCTGACTGCTGCCATGAATGACTTAGTACATGTCATTTTCTGTGTTCATGAGCGCACCCTCAAGATTTGCTGCTACTGTAGAACTGTTTGTCAGCGTGTGTGCGTTTGCAGTTTGGGCCAATGTGATGGTGCATGCCTGGATTCCTAGCACTCGAAAAGCAGAGGCAGGAGGATCACAATTTTGAGGTCAGCCTGGGCTACAATAGCAAGTTCAAGGCCAGCCTGAGCTAGGAGGCAAGACCATCTCTCAAAAAAAAAAGCAAGGCCTGGAGATATAGCTCTGTCGTGAGTACTTGCATAACACATGTGAGATTGTGGGTTTGATCTCCAGAAGTGAAAAAATCAAAGCTCGCCAAACTAAACTTTTTTTGTAGATATTGCCAAATTGCCCTGCAACAGGATCGAATCACTTCCTTTCTATAATAATTAGGCAAAATACCCACAGAAACAACTTAAGGGAAAAAAGATTTCTTTTGGCTTGTGCTTTCAGAGGGTTCAGTTTATGGTCACATGACTGTTTCTGGGTCAGTTGTGAGCAAAATATAATGGCAGAAGTGCATAGGAGAGCTCTCTCTCTCTCTTTCTCTCTCTTTCTTTCTTTCATTCTTTTTTTTTTTTTTTTTCTGAGACAGGGTCTTCCTACATAGCCCTAACTAGACTAGAACTTGCTATGTGGATCAGGCTGGACTCAAACTCACAGTGATCCTCTGTCTCTGCCTTTGAGTATTGGAATTATAACCATGCACCATTAAAAAATTTCCAATATATAATAGTAACATGGTCATGATAGAAAATTATATAAAACTGGCAAGAAAGCCAAGTTTGGTAGCGCACACATGAAGCCCTTTAGGTAACAGGAGGTAGGTGGATCAGGAATTCAAGGTCATCCTTGGTTACATAGTGAATTTGAGGCCAGTCTGAGCTACATGAAACTCTGTCTTTTTTTAATTATTTTTATTTTTTTGGTCTTTTTGAGACAGGGTCTCCCTGTAGCCCCAGGTGTCGTGGAATTCACTATGTAGACCAAGCTGGCCTTGAACTCACAGAGATCCGCCTGCCTCTGCCTCCCGAGTGCTGGGATTAAAGGTGTGTGCGAAACTCTTTCTTTAAAATTTTATTTTATTGAAACCCTATCTTGAAAAATAAAAACAAAACAAACCTCAACACCCCTAACAGAAAACAGCTGCCGATGAGGTCACCCACGGTAACTCGCCTAGAGATGAACTTGTGTTTGTATCTCCCTTCTTTCTCTGCTGCCGTTATATGATCTGTATAAATTTACATCCTGTTTCTTTGTTTTGTTTTTCTTTTTATTATTTTATTTTTTCTTTTTAAGAATTATTTACTTAATAACCACATGATTAGAAGAAGCATTTCATTACAGCATTCACATACTCAACAACAGTTTCCAGAGCAAAGATGCATCTCTTTCAAAAGTGGCTGTAAATTTTTAGGTTCACAGTTGAATTAATACAGTTATACAATATTGAACTCAGTATAAATCCTATAAGACATAAAATT